GCTCACTTTCGCTCTCTGCACCCCTGGAATATGTCATAGAAAAATCGAAGGCACGCGGCTAGCTATTTGATTGTTGTCAGGTAAAAAAAACTGACCAATCGCTAAGCTAGTACTTGTCCTTTATAGATCACAGAGGAGCGACGCCTGGTTTCAAAGCCAGTAAGTTTACCATTACGCGACCGCGAGATTATTTTGATGTTTATCAAAAGCACAGGGTGCTGCACACCGAGCGTTAGATTTTGCTATGACATATTCCAGGGGTGCAGGGAGCGAAAGTGAGTGCAACTCCTGGATATCAAGGGTGCTGCCAATTAAAAGTATAGCCATACGAGTACAGATTCCTAAAAGTATTATATACAATTCAAAACGGCAAACAATCTTGTCATTGATTGTTGAAGGGATTTTGAACTATATCATTATGACCGACATGGTTGAATAGAAAACATCCAGAACTTTTTGGTATATCCCCTTAACCTACACTCACTTCGTCTCTATAGTTGAAGTGTCCGTACGAGTCGCCATGTTCCTCCAAGGTACTCACGAGTGTCAACTGAATATCCGGAGTTTTACTGTCTGGATCTGTCCGGATAAATGTCTGGCTTTCCAGAGCAGCATTACTTGTCATCAAACCTGGGCAAGAGTGTTAACAAACATAAATCAAGTTATTTTTCAGTTGGATTATATTTATTATACTGATAACCAACCAATCCTTCTCCTACCACCACTGACAACGTATCACTACCGTAAGGTAACCAGGATCCCTACTGCTCTTAGCTCAAAGGCCAACAGAAAACAACTACGCAAACATATTTTCTTGACTCAATACGAGTCAACAACCTTGAACATTTTGCTGAATGGATACCAAGGGATAAAGAAGATTCTTATTGATATTTGTTTCACAATGTGAAAGGTCACGGTTATACAAAGCTCGCTTAGTACATGTATCAGCAAATGCAACAATTGTGATCATTCTGCCATATTCATACAAAACTTATATACAAAAATACATATTTTCCCGAGAACATTTTTCGATATCGAGTACCTTAGAATTTTTTTCTTATTTGAATTTCATCCTCCCTTTAACAGGATTCCCTCCGATTTCATTTCAGTAAAACTCTTTGATTGTGTTCGATTTCATGTACTGTTCTCTATGCGTTTACTTACATGCAATAGGATGTTCAAGTATGGAAAAAGATTATGTTTCTTACATGTATCATGCTTAGTCAGTTTCTAGACCCAAATAATTGCATGTACCGAGCAGAAAACACTTGAGCCAGCAAAGCGATCTGACGGTAAGGACCATCAGCTAGTTTTCTGTACACAAATCGCCAGTACATAGGATGTCGAAGTTGTGAAAACTAGGTGTTGATTCTTCTCAACAAGATCACAAAAATGCAAACCAACCTGTTCCGAACAAATGGTACTTGAGCCAGTTTAGCGGCGTGAAGACCTTGGCGTTTGTGTAACTGACCGGCTTCTTAATGTCAGCCTTCGTGAAGAACATCATGTGATCTCTCAATGTGGACCCTACAGGCAGGTCTGCAACAACTGGAATCTGTATAGCATTGTAAAGTATCTCTCAGTTCCATAGAAATCTTTATTAAGATTTACTAGTAATTGTAACGGACGCAGACTTTAAGCCCCTGTTTCCATATCAAAATAATACAATTACACACAATATTACATATATTACATCAGATAAAATACAATTCAGGTGAAATTAATGTTCATAAATATTAAAATTACAATTATTTTTCCCGTGTTCATCGATCAGAATTTCAAATTTCACAATTGTGTGTATCAATTACATACATTGATTAAGTTTGTTTCTTCAAACACATTTTAATGCCATAAG